AAAGGGAAAGGGAGGAAAAAAGAAAGAAGAGAAAGGAAAGGAAAGGAAAGGAGAAGAAAAGAGAAGGGAATGAAAAGGGGAAAGGAAAAGAAAGCAAATGAAAAAGGGTAATGAAAAGAAAAGAGGAAGAATATGAGAAATTAAAAGGAAAAGAGAAATGATTATGGAAAGGAAATTAAAAAGGGAAAGAGAAGACAGAGGAAGAATAAGAGAAAAATTAAAAGAGAAAGAAGGGAAAGGAAAAGAAAAGAAAGGGGAAGGTGATAAGAGAAATTAAAAGGTAAAAGAAGGAAATGAGAAGGGAAAGGAAAAGTGTAAGGGAAAGGAAAAGTGAAAGTGAAATAAGGAATATGGAAAAGAAATTAAAAGGAAAGAGGAGAAAGGAGAAAGGAAAAGAAAAGGGGAAAAAAGGATAAAAGGAAAAGAAAAATGGAATGAAAAGATAAGAAAAAGGTAAAGAAAGAGGGAAAGTGTTATATAGAGATAACGGTGGTGAAAGATAACAGTGATGTTTTTTATTTATAATAAATTTATTCTAAAACTAAAAATGATGCTAAAAATAAATATAAAATAAGGTATATATATTATGCGTATAAGAGATGACAAGAAGACCAGGATGCTATCGTTAATCGTTGACAAATTATAGCCAATTGCTTATCAAAAATTTAGTATAAGATAAAAAATCGAACAAGAAGTCGTGGAAACCATCGTTACTCGCAGACAAATTATCGGCAGTGGTTTACCGTCATTAGTTACTAGAAACCGTTAGAAACAAGCAAAGACTAGGATAATGTGGGAGTAAAACGAGATATAATTAAAGGAGCTAGAAGAATGTATCGGGAACCATGCCTTACTCGCAGAATGGTGGGACTAATCTAAGTGGAAGGGTGTTGTAATTGTTAAACCAAATTAAGCCGAAGGATATTCAAATCTAATCAAGAAAAAAGAATTAAATTTCGAATGCAAATGATTTAAAGAAAGAGGAATAAAAAAGAATGATTATTCAAATTAAAGAAAGTTCAAGATTTTTTTCAGTTTGTTTGTAAAACATTATGTAAATGAATTATAGAAAAGTATATATATATTCGAGGATATTTGTATAAGGACAGATCATGATTTTACGAAATTAATTTTAATTTTAATTTTTGATTATTTTAATTTTTTTTAATTAATTTAGTTTGATTATATTTTTAACTTATTATTTAATAAAGATTTAGTATCATTTTAGTTCTAACTTTTCTGATTTGACGAATATTATAGAAAAATATATATAATCGAGGATATTAGTCTGATTTAGTATCAGTTTAGTTCTAACGAGGATATTAGTCTGATTTAGTATCATGTATTTTAACCTTTCTTATTTGACAACGATTTAAATCTCTCAATCCTTTCAAAACAATAAAATGTTACAGTCTTAAAAAGGATTTGCTCAAAATTTAAACAGATATACCCCTATAATAATTATTCCACATCATTTTTTAAAAAATATATAAATAAATGAAATTGTTTTACTAATATTGAATGGCATATTTTTAATTTAAATAAATATCATTTTTTGTTTCTTAACAAAAAGATATGACCCTTATCAAATTCTTTGATAATTCGGAAATTCAAGATATACAATAAATTTATCTGAAAAACAACAATAAGCCAAAGGAATAAATAACAATTTATTTTTTAGATATAATTTTAATTGATCATATTACAAAAAAGTATAAGAATCATCTTTTTATATATAAAAACGTGAAATAAATATATTGACTGCATATTAAATAGGGCTAGAAATCAACATCATTTTTTTTACAGGATAAAATATTATTTTTATTTCACGGATAACAAATAATACATTAATTATTCAGCATTATAAAAAATCAATTTTATCTGTAGAGTTGTTGCAGTGGACCTAATTCTAATCAATATTTTTCTCCATAACTTAATTTTTTGGGTTATCTCCAATAAAACCAGGTTTGTTATTTCTTATAAAAATATTAGGAAAGACCTGATTTTGTCGTGATACTCTATTAAGAGGTGTGCTCAGGGTTTTTCAGTTTTCCTATTACATATTAACGTTTTTTTGTATTTATACTAAGAGCCATAGGCATAGCCAGGGGGGGGGGCAAGGGGAAATCCCCCCTTTCAAAAATTTAACTCTTTTTGTGAATATCATTTTAAGTTAATAAAAAATATCCCCCATAGTCCTCCCCCCCCCACTCTCTGACCCTTAAAAATGTATGCATATATCTTAAACAATAATTTGAAAGAAAAAATGTAATAGTTAATATTTTTTTTATAAAACTATTCATCATAATTTATTTTTTGGAAAAAAGCATTTATATATAAAAAAAAGTAACCAAAAATCTTTTTAAGAAATGGAATATAAGCCAAAGATAAGTCTTAAGACAAAAGTGAAATGTATTATAATTATTAATAATAGATCCATAAAATTATTAAATAATATAATATATCAAATATAATTTTTAATAAAGTGAGTAATTTTAATTTATTTATCATAATAAAGGTAAAATATAATTATAAAACTATTGATAAAATTAAATCATAAATTAAATAAAAAAATTAAAGCACAATACAAACAGTGGAATATTATATGTCGTAGATTTACAGTATATCTATTTTATCAATTATCATATGACAATCAAGTAATTTTTACCAATATAGCGAAATATATATTTTACAGGAAACTACAAAATATAAGGACATCAGATGATTAATATGAAAATTAATTTTTAATATTTTATTTAAAATAAATAGGGCGTTAAATAATTGAATGTAAATTGTTGCTATATTTATTATCAAAAGCATTGATTAGTAAAATTTGTTAAAATATTAACTGTAATTCTCTAACTATCAAATATGTCTGTAAAAGTGGAATTTTACCTAGTATTTTGTAACTAATTCTATATAGAGGAATATCAATTATATGTCTACTTACTTTTTCTAAATAAATTTCTTATACTTGTTTGGAATAAATTATTACCATGCTTTTGTATTAATGTACATACAAGTAATTTATTATATTTTATATAAACTAATAAAAATATATTTCATATTTGTTCCATTATTTTTTTTATTAAAATAAACTTGCTATCTTGTAAAAATATTATATGACTATATATAGACTAAGGTAACCCGGCTAAAGGCCGGGCAAAAGCGATCCCCCCCCCCCTTTTAGGATAATTCTGGCTACGCCTATGCTAGGAGCTAACCTGTAGAATGTCTGGTGAATCAGAGATTTCCTCTTCATTTGATGATAAATTAATTAGAAATTTAACTATCTCCTGGTATGGGAAATTTTTTTAGAAATTATTATGAAGTTGGGCTGAGCTTGGAAAATATTCCTCAAAATTAATATGGGCTTGGATCTGGTTTGGGAAAATCTTTACAAATTATTATGGGTCTGGCTTGGGAAAAAGTTTTTAAAATTATTATAGGTTGGACCAGGGTTGATAAAAAATTTTCAAAACTATTTTGGGCTGGGCTTGATAAATATTTTCAAAATTATTAAGGTCTTGGAAGCTTGATAATTTTTTAATATATAGAATTTTTTTCGCAGACCTGGGTCGGGTCTCGAAAATCCAAGGGTATTGAAGATTTTTAATTCTGATTGCATTTTTAAATTTATATTTTTTACAAATTTTATATTAGTTCTGAACTACCAAAATTTATATTCTTGGACCGGGCTTGGATAAATTTTTTCAGAATTATTGTGGGCTTGGACCTGGCTTGGAATTTTTTAATATTAAATATTAGCCATAGGTAATCAGTAATATTTTAATAAAAAATTTTGATATAGGTCTCAAATAAAAGTTAATTAAAATATATTTCGACTCACACTCTTAGTCTTAAAGGGTTGGATTTGGCCTGAAGGAGAAGGGGTAAAAAGAATAAAAATTGGATATTGTTTATAAATAAGCGGTAACATCTATCGAAGAACGAAAAATATTCTCATTCCCCGTCATTTTTGACGGGCTATCTACTAGTATGTTAGTAGATAATAAGGGAGACTTATTACATTTTAACAAATATTGGTCGGTATTTAGCAAATTACGTTGTTATTTAGAAAATTGCTATATGTTGACTTGGCAGTATTCATTATTAATCGTAAATAAGGGGGTTTTTAATTGAATTTATATTCTAAAAAATAACCTTTTTTAACAATCACAATTATTTTAAAAATTGGTAGTAGATAAAGTATTATTAATTTAAGTTATTCTTTTTAAAATGAAGGGAGTACCATTATAATAAAAAATTCGTAATTAACAATGTAAAAATATCGTGACAAAGCTGGCATATTTTTAAGGATTTGGTATAGATCTTCGAGTTGTGATAGAACCAAGTAAACATCCTGTCATATAGATAGACATTATATTATCCAACTTTAAGTTCTCCTCTGATAATCCGAAATAATCAAATGTTATATATTTAATCTTTTAGTCTAAAAGCTTTCCCCTTTAGGACTGCACTTGTAAATATTTCTCAGCTGAATCAAATTATTCATACTTTACTTTGACCCACGCCGGAACATTAAAAAACACACTGACCTTCAAAATATAATTTTCATACCCATTGTTAAACTTACAACACCTTGGAAATTTTAGGGAGCCAGGCTTTCCAATTAATTTAAAACCTCGGGGAAAGATAATTGCAGAAACCGTTTGTCAATATAACTTTATCCCCACCTTTAAGTAAATATTTAATTTCTTTTCTCTTTTTTAGTTCCTTCTTTTAAAAATTCTTTCGAAGAAATATTTGTCATTCCTTTTTAAGAAATAATTTTTATAGAGCCATAATTCTTATAATTATAAATTTTATATTATGACTTTGATTATTATTAATAATAATAATGTTTGTGTTATTTTTTTATCTGAGATATGAATATTTATATTATAAATCTCTTTTAATTGAAATCGTTTAAAATAAATAAATATAATTGTAGAGGTTAGTATTTAAAAAAAACTCAACAAACACTACTATATAATATGAAATTATTTCGATGATATCGAATCAAAAGTTAGCACCAGTTTAACGTGTCTTAGAATTATTTGACCGATGCCCGATGAAATCTTATTGAAAAATTTTTTTTGAATATGAATAAACAAAATTTTTTATAGTCCAATCAACACATTGAACAATAACGAAAGAATTGGATTTTACTAAAGGTAGTCAAATTTTATTTATCAATTATAATTCTTAAATAATTAAAATAGATGGGTGATAATTTCGATTTTTGTGAGTGCATAAACCACGAATCGGCCATGCAAAGGCTAATTAGTTTGGTAATTTTAACTAACTTATACTATTTTAAACAAATTAATAACATTCTAATAATTTGCAAGGTGTATATACAAAATTATATTTTTAAATTCATTAGTTACGATCAACTCAAAACTATTGCACAGATAATGAATGCTTGACAGATAGTTATATATTTTATTTACATGTGTAATTACATTTATTTAGTGCCTGGATCAAATTTAAACAGGATAGGAGGACAAGGTGGTTTTGAAATGTCATCAACCTTTATGATTTTTGGTTTATGGTTAGTGCTAGCTATTCTTTTATACGTTTTCCGGCCCAGCTCACTTAGAACTGGAAATGGTAAACCTACTTCACACGATGAAGACAATGATTATAATGACAGAGTAATTTTATACTTTATCTTATCCATTATTACATGAAACCTTCACTGATTACTTAACTTATTATTTACAATATTGCTTATTCTTAATTATTTGCAATATTGGTTATAAAACTATTTTTCATTTAATGGGTTTAAATAGGCCCCCAGCTTACATTAATAGGCATTTCCTAAGTGGCAAATTGTTAATTAAAATTAAGAATAACTATATGAAAAGGGGATTAATATGACATGAAACATGTTGTATACCTGAATCTTTTATTGTGTTTTTAATTCTCTAAATTTCCTCCTAATGACACTAAATTTATTATTTCTGGTCAACACTTGCTACAGCCATTATAATTTTGTTAAGTTCAAATGCCTATTTCTGTATTTAACAATGTTTGAAGTTATAAGCAGGGATGTGAACCTGGCCCCTGAACCCTCATGAACAATAGTATTTTGGCTGTACCAGAGCCCGGACCTTTTTTAGAAGTAAACAAGGGTTCTAGGTGTCATAAAAATTTTTAAAAATAAAAATATTCTTTTAAAAAATATCATTTTTTTAAAATTTGATTAACTTTTTTTGTAAAATCATTTATTTTATTTTTGGGTTTTCTTCCTTCCTGGTTTCATTTTATTTAGAGATTGATATCATAAATTATTTTCCAGTGTAATAATATTTAATTATGTAATTTATTAATATGCTATGTTATAGATATATGTTGATTATTTTGAAAGTGAATTATTTTGTAGTACAAGTAATAATATTTTAATTTAAATGATAATGCAACACATTGATCCAATTTGTATGATGCTAGAATGATTATTAAGTTTGAAAGATTTCTGTAATGATTTTATTATAGGAGTGAAGTCATTTTGTCGGAAGATGAATGGTGCCAAAAGGACCTTCTAGTGTATTAGTTCCTTTAAAAATAACAATATTAAGATTACAATCAGAACAATTATGTTTATTTGTTTTTTATGGCATATGGATTAGATGCCGATTAGACTTTGAAAAATTTGGTCCTTTTTATATGAAATATTAGAAAACATGAAAATTCAAGAGCAACAATATTTGCAAAATAGTGTTGTATATGCTTCTATATATTTACACCCTCGATCTCAAATAGCAAAAACAGATGGCTAAAGACCATAAGGATTTATCATATGCAAATATTATTATATACAATATATTGGAGGTTACAACAATACCTACTGGTTGTAGTGATAATAATAATTATGATAGCAACATTGATGATTTTGAAATTTTACTTTTAGGTAGAGAAAAAAAAATCAAATTATCAACAGATAGAAAGGAGGATCAAAAAATGCCTATTGCATCTTTAATAGAAAAGTTATCAGAAGTTAAGAGAATATACAAATATTTTAAAATTCTGGAAGAAAATTCTTCAATATATCCATAATTATATATTTTATCTAGAATCTTCATGGCTGTACCGGCGATACAAATACAATAATTTTATAAAGGTAATTATCTATTTTAGGTAAGAGTAGAATGTGAATTTTCATCTTTGAAAAATATATTGTCTAATTTACATGGAAATCTCAAGGATGATATTTTAGAAGATATTATGATTGTGCGATTGAATACAACATTTAAAATATAAATTACATTTGTAAATTATGAATATGTGTATATTGAAGTATAATAATAAATGAATGAAAAAAATCTTATTTTGAGTCATTATTTTTATGTTCCCTGAACCCGAGCCCTGGACCTGGGTTTTTTTAAAATTTTATTCATTTATCCGAACCTGGACCCTTTTTTTATAGAAGAGTTCACATCCCTGGTTATAAATAATATGACTTGCTAATCAAAATCTGTCAAATAATGAAATTTGAACCTAAAAAATAGAATAAAAATATAAAGAAATATAATTAAATACTAAACTATAAAATTTAAATCTTTATTAATTACTAATAATTAATTATAATTAAATATAAAGTGAAAACATAACCAAAAATAAAAGAAAAAAAATTAATATAAGAAAAAGTATAAAAAAATAAAATAAAAGTAAAAAAGAAAGAATATTTTAAAACCATATATATATATATATATATATAGTATCATTATTTACATAATATAATACTCGTATTATTAACAATATACATATTCAAATTTTACATGAACTCTAAATATTCAACTTTATAGAAAAAAAAATTATTTTCCGTAAATATTTATATACACAAAATCTTTAATCAAAATAATACAATCACAACACCCTTCCACTTAAGTCAGACTTACCACTTAGCGAATGACCAACTTCTTTTGATTTTGACTTTACTCATCTTGTATCTCCACCAAATCTATTCTGCTTGATCTTTAATGTTCTAACGATGGTTGTCCATTGTCTAGTATTCTTCACTTCTAAGGATTGTTTGTATCTGATAACAGCTTGAAATTCTGGGATCCTATCTTCTGTTATAGCTCTTGATATCAGTAATTGACGAACCAGATTAACTCTTGCTTTTAAACGATCCACGATTGCTAGTAACGATTATCGATTGATACTATTCCTTCTTTACCATCTTTGCTTCTTCTAAAGCGTTTTGAATTCTCTAGATAAATTATTTACGATTAACGATTGTAGCTTGAAAGTATTGGCCAGTTGTTCTTGCTAGACGCCTATTTCTAACGTTCTTTTGTATTAACCCTTTATCTCTGTAAACATTTGACGATAATTTGTCTGCTATTAACGATTGTAAGAATTCTGGTCTCTATGATCGTCAACTTTCGTATTTTAGACTAAAGTTTCCGTAAACAATTGGCGATATTAGTAAGCTATTAACGATTGCAGCATGAATGTCTCGTAGCTCGTTTTTAACTCTCTTATTATTGATTAGTTCTTGGTCACTAATTCTTGTAACCGTATATCTCTTTTAGACTTTTGGGTCTTCTACGACAGTTCCTAAATATCGACTTTGTCTTTATTCTCACTAAAATAATTTATTTAACCCTTTATGACTTATGAACTATTTTATCACTTTTTCTTAATTTATTCTCAAATTTAAACTACATAGTTCAATATGCCAATAAAATATATCATGTCCATTTCGTCTTAATGTATAAGGTTATCGCCTCTAATCTAATTTCTTGCATATTCTATTAAATTTCTTAGCTTCGAAATATTTGCTCACTTTTTTCTCTAAATTAAATCTTAAAATAATAATATATAGTCAAAATATGCTAAATAAATTATATATTTATATCAAATTCTACCACCCCTTTGCCCTCAATGAAGCCTAGGCCTATATCTTCTTGAAACATGTGCAGGTAGTTGTCCTATAGCTAATTTACATCTGTCAACCATGTCTTAAGCTGAATCTAAATCTAAATCTAAAATTTTCTTTAATATCTTGAATCTAAAAAAATGGTAAATATATACCCATAATATAAATATATCCTTAAAAAAAATTCCATTTCCCTACTTTATATGCTTTTGGGCGCTCACGTCTTTAAAGCAAAATATAATACCTATTTATTTTTTTCTCCTCTATACATCCTTTGATTAAAATTGCTAAATATATAATCTCTTTTCGCACACATATTGTTGAAAACTAATGAAGTATAATCATATAGTTTTCATACCTACGTTGTTGAACAACCACTGAACTCTATCATTATGGTTTTCACACCCACGTTTTTAAACAACAAATGAAATCTAAAATCATTAAAGTTTTGAACACACGTTGTTGAAAACAAGGGAAATATATTTCTGAGCATGTTTTTCTTTCTGCTATTATTAGAATAATGTTGCATAATTGATTTCAATTCTTATCAATGATCAAAAATAAAAATCCGATCTCTAAATGAGCTCGATTGCGGCATAAATTTTTAATGACGAGCCGTTTCTCTTTATGAAGATTTTTGATATCAACAACCTAATATAGGGTCATTCCATGTCAAATGAGCAAAAAAATCAAGATTTTCGGCAACCCCTTTCAATTTTGATAAAAAGTTGTTAACTGGTTATATATGTTTCCATTAGATTATAAACAAAATTTTAGCGCATTAGCAACTATATTAGCTGAGATGATCTCCGATTTTTAATTTTTTTAAGAAATATTATCCGTTTACTATTTTTTTAATAATTTCTTTAACAATTAGCATGGCTAAATATTTATTTAAAAAAATATTGCGATTACTTTAAAAAAATAGATGGCGCTATATATAATAGTTTTAATATGTTAAAATTCATTTTTTTTATTGATTAAAAATATTTTATGTATAATATATCATAAAATTCGATTATATAACTTTGAAACCTTATTCCCCTGAGATATTCGCAGGATAAAAAATTTTAATAATTTTTTAATATTTCAATGTAAATTAAAATAATTAAAAAATCGGACTAGCACACTAACAAAAAAGCAGGATTAAAGGGGTGCAGGAAAATTATTAAGGGAAAAATCGAAAATCACATTAATTACCAGGCCTACCCCCAACCCCCTATCCCCCCCCCCCCCCCCAGACTAAGTCATACCCATCAAGACCAAGAATGTTATGAAATTGTCATTATCTTACATTATTAAAATAACCAGAGATTTCAAAGATTTTGAAAAATTTTTTAAACAATAAAAATAACAAAATTATAGTTCTGATGAAATAAGCCGACTCATGCCTGGAATAAAACATTGTGTATCTATTAAAGGCGAGAAAGAATCAGCAAAGATTTATATTAAATAATCTTAAAGAAATATTCAAGATGTTTAAGGAAGAATACCCAAGTATATCAATTGGATTCTCTAAATTTGCCAAACTTAGACCAAAAAACTGAATTTTAGTTGGATGGCACACACACTGTTTGTGTCTGCGCCATTCATCAGAATGTGAAATTAATGATAAATGTAATAGCTGAAATTACAGCAGGAGAAGATTACTGTATAAATTCTTATAACAATCTTTTGGCGCAAATTATTTGTAATCCATCTCAGCCAAAATGTTATTTAACAAATTGTGATCAATGCTCTGGTATAGAATCTCTTATGGGCCAATTATAC